AGCAAAAATTGGTGGTTGGGGCAGTTCCTGAGAACATTCAGCAATGTCTTCCATGGCCTCTGCCTCAGGCAATGACCCAGCAGAACAGGTGGGTTAATTCCACCAAACTGAGGTAGAAGCAATAATGGTTTTACAGTAATCCCTTCAGATGGGAGGGATTCAACAGAATTTATAGGCTCCATATCCTGATCTTCCTGACTATCTGCCCCTATGTCCCCATTTCAGGTTTCAGGATCCCATTTTTTTGCAATCAATGCCCTCACTTTAATTTCAGACCCATTCTGGGTTAGTAATTTAATTTGGCATTGTAATTCAGCCACCTTTAAAATAAGACTCTGGGTTTAGTTTTCGGCAATATCAGCTCTGTTACTAGTGGAACTAAGGCGTTCTTCCAGAGCACAACTGGAAACATTGAGGTCTTTTATGCAGTGCTTAAGTTGTGACTCACCAGCCCTGAGCTCATCTTGCTCTTTCACCTCTTTGTCTAGTGCAAGTAGGACCACCAATCAAGTTCCTTATACTCCTCATGCTGACAAAATTGCAGAAAAGTATCAAATATGCGATCACCTAGAGCCTCACTTCTCAAAAGTACTTGATCTATTGATGGTGCTATTTTGCATATTTATGTTGCCACCTCACACCACAGATTAGCAGGGCCCTGTTTACTAATGGAGGCAGGGCCATCAGTGCCTTTACAATTAATCCAATTGGAGAACCAATTTAGGAAGCGCATCCTTATGATTTTGTCTCTCTAGAACCACTCCCAGTACCAAATGTGTTAGACTGGGTTCTCTATAGAAACAAAACCAGTAAAGCTTGTACATAAAGAGAAAGAGAAATTTATCTTAGCAAAATGGCTCACACACTTAAAGAAGCTGGCAAGTCCCAAGTTCTTGGATGAAATGTCAAGCTGGAGGCTCTTCCCAACTCACGTAGCTGCAGGGACTGAGGAGCTCAAGGTTGGCAGGCAGTGTACTGGCTGTTGACTCCAGCAAATGACAAATCCATGATCTCCAGGCCAAATGGTGGATTTTTCGCTCATGGACAGTTGTAGGCAGCACAACAGAATCCCGATCCACAGAAGAGAAAGTCTTTTCCCAAGATGTCCATAAATATACTGGAAGCTGGCCACACCCCTAGGGAAACTCCCTTGGAACAGATTGGCTGCTCAAAACATATACATCTGATCTCATCACTGGAACAACCCATATCACAATTGCTTAAACCACACAGAATTGTGGTCCAGCTCCAACTATCATAGCTACTATAATAACTGATACTATTATCAGTATACTGTAGCAGGTATAAAGAGAAGGAAATAGATAAAAGGCAAGAGAATTGAATTAAAAACCTCAAATTACATATTTCCACAATTCACCATTTTTCCTCTATCCCATGCTACATTCTCTTCTATTTATGAGTCTTTGCTTTTACCTCCACAGTGATCTCTGTCTTCATTCTCTCCACATACTGCTTGAATCATTTGGTTCATACTACTATATGCCTTGGTATTCTCTAACTGTACGCTTGGTACGACTTAAATCTTTATTATGGTACATTATGGCTATTGTATATAATATCACATTTATTATTTTTGCCCATGGATTATAAAGTGTTCCAATGTGCCTGACTAACAGCATGAAAGGTGCTCAGGAAACACTGCTGATTAACTGAAGCTACTCAGTTTCAGATACTGTTTCATTGGCATAGATCAGCAATTGGCAAACTTTTCTGTAAAGGGCCAGATAGTAAAAATGTTTTACTTTGAGGACCACATGGTCTCTGTTACAACTGTCACAATGCCTCAACTCTGCCAGTGTAGCACTAAAGCAGTCACAGATAACACAAATGGCATGGCCATGTTCCAATAAAACTTTATTTAAAAAAATTAGTAAGCCAAATTTAGGAGCTGTGATAGTGTAATGCCTAAGGCACTTGACTGCTAACCGGAAGGCTGGTGATTCAAACCCACCAGCCATCCTAGAAAGAGAGATTGGGTATTCTACTTCTGTAGTGATACTGCCTCAGAAATCCAGGGCGGAGATTGCTATGAGTCAGGTCTAACTCAATGGCAAATAACAACAACAACAACAACAACAGCAACAAGCCAAATTTGGCCTGAGAGCTATAGTTTGCCAACTGGCAAATCCTCATGTAAAACTCAAAGTTACAAAATAGAACAGCTAAAATGTGTTATATCAGATTGGTTGAACCTCTGACTGTGGCCCTCAGATACTCCTCAAGCCTGGAACTAAATCCATCCCTGGTAACAACTTTCAGCCTACACTAGACAGGCCTATAAAGTGAATAAATAACACCAGGGAGGAAAGTATTCCTCAGTACAACCAATCATATGAGACCAAAAGGGCAGCATTTGTCCCAAAACAAAGCTCAGACATCAGGAAGGGGCAGTAAAGAGGATGAATGTAAACAGGGAACCCAGGGAGGAAGTGGAAAGAGTGCTGTTACATTCTGGAGATCGTAACTTATGGCTTGAAACAAAATATGTATAAATAAATGAATGGGAAACTAAGTTTGTTCTGTAAACTCTCACCCAAACCGCAATAAACAGTTCAAAATAAATAAATAAAACAAAATGTGGTACCAGTTGTGGTGGGAGCTCTGGTGGCATAGTGCCTAAGGCATTTGACTGCTAACCAGAAAGCTGGTGGTTCAAACCCATCAGCCACTCCTTAGAAGGAAGATTGGGCAATCTACTTCTGTAGAGATACCACTTCGGAAACCCAAGGAGGGATCGCTGTGAGTTGGAGATGACTCAACAGCACATAACAACAACCAGTTGTGGCTTTACAAAAACATAAATAAAAAAGCCCAGACCTTCTCCCTCTAAAAAGGAGCTTCAGTGACTTACTGGTTAAAGCACTGGGCTGCTAACTAAAGGGTCAGTGGTTCATATACACCAGTTGCTCTTAAGGAGAAAGATGAGGCAGTCTGCTTCTGTAAAGATTTACAGCCTTGGGAACCTTCTGGGGCAGCTCTACCCTGTCCTATAGGATCTCTATGAGTCAGAATTGACTAGATGGCAGTGGGTTTGGTTTTATTTTCTGTCTTCTGCCTCACAAGACTGTAAGTTGCCAAAAGGTAAATAATGAAATAATAAATGTAATTTCCAGCTTCTGCTTCCTCCAACCTTGATCTCATACCATTTAGGCAAGTACTTGGCCAGTAAGAACCTGCTAACTGAAACAGAAGCTAAGCTCTTGCTCTCACTATCACACTATCACTCTTCACTTGCTTTGCTTCCTAGGATGTTACGCTTTTTGCAGCCTGAACTACAAAGCTGATGACTAGAATTCACTCACCCAAGAAGCAAAGCAATTTTATCTTTGCCAATTTGAGCTAACATTTCATAATTTTAATCCTTACATTTTCAATTAACAGATGGATGCATCACATTCATCCATAAACAAACAGGAAGAAAATCAAAACCTAATTTCCTTAATGTACACCTGGGAGAGACAACTGTAATCTGGATTTGTACTTTTAAACATAATGCAATTTAATTATTAGAGCAATTTAAAGCCACTAAGAACATGATGGGTAGTTCAGAAGTTGTTTCATTTATTTATTTTAAAATCATAGTGTTCCATATTCTTTCAAAGACTGAAACTAAAGCAGTCAGCAGGGCCAGAAGGCTGGCGGTTCAAACCCACCAGCCACTTCTTGGAAGGAAGGTTGGGTGATCTACTTCTGTAGTGATACTGCCTTGGAAACTCAAGGAGGGGTCGCTATGAGTTGGATTCGACTCAACAGCAGTGAGTTTGTTTTTGTTGTTAACTATAAAGGTAGATCACTAATCCCATGTAACTTGGTAGAGCAAGAAGGTGATTAAGTTTTATAAGGACAGATACAATTATTTCAGAGATTAAGTCATTCTTTTCAGATTACCCAGAAAAACAGGAAGGAACAAATTTTATTTAAAAATAGTAAATGAACTATTGTAGCATTTGAATGAAAACAAAATGCTTTGCATTGTTCTGAGAATAAGATCCAATAAGATCGATCTGTATTAACATCTTTTAACGTCACAGTATATGAACAAAGACCATTACAAGTGAAAGAAACTATCAAAACATATCAAGCACTCAAAAACCAAACTCACTGCCATCGAGTCAGCTCCAACTCATAAATGACCCCTCCTTGGGTTTCCAAGGCAGTATCACTAGGGAAGTAGATGCCTGATCTACCTTCTGAGGAGCCCTCATTAAAAAGATTAATCTTAAATGTTAAAATAAAATAATACTTTGTTCCCAAAGTGATATTAGATAAGCTTTCTGCCTGCCACCCCACCCTGCCCTAGAAGTGATTTTGGAAACAAATAAATAAAAGTATTTTTATGGATAAAAATAACTTCCCTTACTCAAAAGTTAGAATAAAGAAGTCAAAGCCAAGTCTACAATGGCCTTTCAAACAGTGTTATTGCTTCTATTTTCTATTGTTGGAAACACACTTCAGGGCAACTAAATAAATCATCTTATAATGGGAATGGGTCCAAAAATGAAACCAAATAAGGAGGTTCAAGTTTGAAAGAGAACGGTGTGCTAAGCTCTTAATACACAGAGATTTGTAAGTAAGATTTGATGATATCAGTAATTTAATTTTGATCTGGGGACAAAGCTCCTTTGTATTCCTACAGAAAACAAGCAATCTTATTTACTGTCATTTAGCATACTAGAGGGTTAATTAAATAAGCAATGTGGCAAAGTTCCCACTATACTATAAAGTGTAATTTTTCTGTAGGATTAAATTTAGAAACAGTGATTTCACACTTGAACCAACCCAGTTAAGTCAACAAAGTCAGATAAGTTCATAGTTCTTGTATAAACTCTAATGTCTTTTAGGAAGATTTAAAAATTGGTTTGTGACTGGAGTGACTTCGTAATTTATGATGTTAGACTAAAGCTGTGGAATTAATTCAAGAATTATACATTACCAAGTACATAAATGTTTAAATGTTATTTTTGCATAAGTTTACTTACCGCCATATAAGCATTTGTTCCAACATACGTCTTGGCTATAGAATTCACCAGCTATGAGACAAAACAGTCTGTTAGAACAATATAAAGATAATGTGGAAATAAAATGGGCAATTATTCCTCATTTAACCTACAATCATCATTCCTATAAATCAACTAAAAATTATGTAAAAGGGAACAAATTTATTTACAAAGGCATTAAAAATGATTAAATCTCTCTTTTCTTTTGAATGTGATTTCCAATTTAAACAAGCACAGCATTACAGTTTATAGCAGATAACCTTAAACAATTCACTTAAACAGGATGCTTATTGCTTTAGTACCCCAAACCCGCCTGATATAAAAAGTCAATTTGAAGTAGAATTTGAACGCACTCATTTTTTAGTCAGATGGCTCAAGATGTGAATGAAGCCCCATGCATTACTAGAATGAAGCAAACAGTAAATATGCTGGAGGGATAACAGACTTTGACAACTCATAATACAATGATGACCTTAGCTTTGGTCTTCGTGTTTGGCTGGGAGTAAAGGTGGCTGCAATTCAAATCAACATCACAGCACGCTCATGGGTCACTATCACCAGGGTTCTCAGGGGAGGCCCAAAATGGAAATTAATTAAAATTTGTGCTGCACATTATAATGGCCCTCCACCATTGTTGCTCCCAATATTAATTTTTATTGTGGGCCAGTTGGGCTCCCTCGGCACAGCTCCCACTCTGCCCTCCCTTTTGTCTGGCCAAAATGCTTTCATATCAAAGCTGCATATCAATGAAGTTTGCTATTCGTAAGTAGTAATTACAATATCAGCAGTTTTTACTGTCATTAAACAATGAACAATCATATTCTGATGAAGGAAATGTGCTCAGAGATTAAAAATGAATGACACACTCCCACCCAAAGAGAACATGCAGAGGTCCTGTTTGTCTGGCAGTTAGGTGATTTTTCAATCCAGAAAGTAGATAGCATATAAAAGGGAGATATTGTGGAGAAGAGAGCAAACTGGGAGGAAAAAGAGACCTACCTGAGTGCTAACTCCAAAATCACACAGCTTGACTTGTCCTCTCGTGTTTACTAGCATATTGGAGGGCTTCACATCTAAAAAGGGACCAGAAGAAAGTCCACATAACTAATTCTTATCTACATTGCTTATTTCAGAAGGAAGGTTAGGCAATCTACTTCCGTAGTGATACTGCCTCGGAAACTGAAGGAGGGGTCGCTGTGAGTCAGGTGCGACTCAACGGCACATAACAACAACAACAGCAACAACAACATTGCTTATTACATTAAAAGTACACATGCATGCCATACTATATTGCAAAAGTGACGCCTTCTGCTCACCCTGAAACTCTAAGCACAAATTAACGCAAAGCAGTTTATCTAGAGGCAAGATGTAAGGTCCTGACTTCACCACTTTCAACTATATCTGGTTTCTATATAGGAGCAGGGGTTTGTCTCAAGTAAAAGTCAAATCAAATCTTAGCTCCCAACACCATTAAATACACCCATTAACCTATCCCTAGCCTTTTAGGAAAAGTAGAAAGATAAGAAAATATAACCTTCTTGCAAAAAATTTGCACAAAAAGGATTAATTTTGTGTTCAATGGGTAAATGTCAAGCTCACTCTCCCATTTAAGAAGCAGTAAGGCCTTACTAGAGAAAACAAGGGGAAAAAATTAAATAAAAACCCAAACATTCATATGTTATTGGTAACAGGTCACATCTGAATGAAACGATGAAAAAATAAATTCAGTATTGCTATTTCCAGTGTTTTACATGACATATTTTCCTTTAGATTACCAGTTAGAAATTGATCTAAAGGATGCGTGTGTGAGCACATGCATGCACGTATCAGTCTTTGTTTCATTTATCCTTCTCTTTCATCATTTTTGACTGCTGTTATAGTTAACAAAAGAATTGACATAGCCTTTGCCAAAGCAGTCGGTTGCTAAATAATGACACAAAGGGTTTTTGTGAAGCATCCTCAGTGACAACAATGGGCCTTTTCAGGAAGTCAGAGCCCACAAAAACCATCCAAGCAGGGCAAGAGCACACTACTTTTGATGGTTCTGAGTAACACCTGCTTCAACACTCCACTTCCATGGCAAAAGTGGGCTACAACAGATGACTGGTTGTATTTTATACAGCATGTAACCTTGACTAGCCCCAAATGAAGGACAGTCATAATCTTTTAAATATTTTTTAAAAATCCGCAAATGAGTTAATCTACTCCTGACTCTCCACCCTGCAAAGGGGTACCCAACAAACATTTGCAAAGAGTAGATACTTAATTCAAACTTCAAGTTCATATTCAGTAGCCAAAAACGATTGAACCCTACTTACTAGGTGTCAGGCAGTGTACTAGGCACTTTCTCATACATCAGCTCATTTAATGTTGCCTGACTGACTGATACAAGAATGCAAACTCCACAAAGGCAGGGACTTTGTCTCTTTTACTGATTTTTGTATTCCCAGTTCCTGGAAGAGCGCCTGACACATAACAAGTACTTAATAAAATTTGTTGAGTGCATGAATGAATAAACGAATGAAAACTATAAGCACATAGTATTATTTTATGCTGATGATTCTTTTCAGTGATGAGGGGTTAGCTGTAGAACATGCAGTTAACACACACCATATCCCTCTTTAAGGAGCCCTGGTGGTGCAATGCCTAAGGCATTTGATTGCTAACCAGAAAGTTGGCAGTCCAAACCTACCAGTTGCTCTGTGGAAGGAAGATGAGGCAATCTACTTTTGTAAAGATTTACCGCCTGGGAAACCCAATGGGGGGTTGCTATGAGTCAGAATCGACTCGATGGCAATGGGTTTTGGTGGTTATATCCCTCTTCAGGAGGTTCTCTCTTTACATAAGTTATGCTTCATATGTAAATTTATATATCATACCATATTGCAAAAAGGAAGGCACAAGTTCTCATTATCAATTTCTCATTTCCCCAACTTCAACATAATTCTTACACCACCAGAATATTAAACCTAAACATACCACTTTTGTTATAGCATTTCTTTTTTTTTAGAAGGAAGTTAAACATTCCCTGTCCCCACCCCCACTCCAGAATGTGAACTTCTTAAGGATTATGCTTGGAAATATAATACGTCATAGATGGCCTACGATAGACACTCAATAAACGCTTGCTAAATTGAAAGAATGTTAGACTTTATATAGCCTGATTCAGCTGTTAACCGAAAGGTGGGTGGGTGGTTTAAGCCCACCCAGGGACGGCACTGTCATGGGAGCTCCGGTGGCATAGTGCCTAAGGCACTTGACTGCTAACCAGAAGGCTGGAGGGTCAAACCCACCAGCCACTCCTCCTTAGGAAGGTTGGCAATCTACTTCCACAGTGATACTGCCTCGGAAACCCAAGGAGGGGTCGCTATGAGTCGGGTCTGACTCAGTGGCAAACAACAACAACAACCACCACCTTATTTTTCCAAATTTAATGTTCATTGTAGGCCCTCAACTTTTGACTTTTTTCTTTTGGATAATCTGTTCTTTTATATATTGACACTGTTCAAACCACCCTGAAGCCACCACATCACATGGAGACAGCAATGCACAAATATTTTGAGATCCTAGAAAACGTGCTTCCTGGGAATCACCAGGTGTGCAAAAAAGCGGCAAACCTTTAGCTTCAATGAGACACACACTTGACTGAAGTGCATCAGTAGAGAGAGAAAGAGAAAGAATAAAATAACAAAACTGCCAGGCTATGTTCTGGGAAAAAAAAAAAAAAAAAAAAAAGCCAAACCCACTGCCATCGAGTCAATTCTGACTCACAGTGACCCTACAGGATAGAGCAGATGTGCTCTCATAGTTTCCAAGGCCGTAAATCTTTACAGAAGCAGACTGCCTTATCTTGAGTGACTGGCAGGTTCAAACCACTGACTTTCTGGTTAGCAGTCAAATGCATTAACCACTACACCACCAAAGCTTATATTCTAAAAGGTAAGGTGTAAATAAGATCTTTACCATATTTTTCAGCTCTCCAACAACATCTTCCTTTTAGCTTACATTTAAGCCTACTGTTTGACTTTTGTACATTCACCTCTCAGCCTAGTTTTCAGGAGTACTTTATGTATGAAACTTATAGACTCCCATTCATCCTCAAACCAACTGTTGTTGTTGTTGTTGTTGTGTGCCATTGAGTCAGACCCGACTCATAGCGACCCCTCCTTGGGTTTCCGAGGCAGTATCACTACGGAAGTAGATTGCCCCATCTTTCTTCCGAGGAGTGGCTGGTGGGTTTGAACCACCAGCTTTCTGGTTAGCAGTCAAGTGCCTTAGCCACTATGCTACCAGAGCTCCCTTCAACTAGTCTGTTTTAATCACTGTGTCAAAAAAAAAAAATTGCATCATTAAGGCTTTGTTCATGTTGTGTATTTTCCTCTGCCTTCTCACCCTTTGGCTTAGAAACAGTTCCTTGAGATGTTCTGACTACTTGAATCCTACTCATCATTCAACTCAAGGACCCCATCCCTCTGCCTTTCCAACTACCCAGGCTATCGAAGTGACTGCTTCAGTTGAATTGCTATGGCATTTACTCTTTGTACCATTTGTTTTGGAACTAGGCATATGACACTTTATATTAGTTACTTATGAGATTTACTGCTACAAGTATCATCACCCCAAGTCAATAAGGTTGCAGAGTAGGAATATGTTTTATACGTCTTTGTATGTATCCCTTCTGAGCATAGTATCTTATTTACTGTTGATGGGTTTTTAAAAAATATACTAAATTTGCTAAAATAAATGTCCTTCCAACAATATCTTGAGATATAACTTAGATATAATAGATCCCTTTAAACAAAGTTACATTTACTTTTCTCCATAAACATATAGGCCAGGAGGGAAATACTAACAATGGACTCAAGCTAGGAGGGAGAAGACCTGGGTTTTAATCTTTTTGACCCTGCCCCAAATTGGTTTGTGACTTTGGAATAGTCATATTCAATGTCTACATTTTAGTTTCCACATGTGTATGGAGACAATGATAGTCATTGTGTCAATCTTAAAGAACTGTGAGGATTAGATGAAACAATGAAAGTAAAGCTGCTTTTTAAATTATCAAAACACTCTATAAATGTAATGTATTATCAATTGGTGGGAGCTCTGGTGGTGTAGTGCCTAAGACATTAGACTGCTAACCAGAAGGCTAGTGGTTCAAACCCACCAGCCATTCCTTGGAAGGAAGAAGGTTGGGCAATTTATTTCCATAGTGATACCACCTCAGAAAACCAATGAAGGGTTGCTAGGAGTTGGATTTGACTTGATGTCAATGAGTTTGGTTTTGGTTTGGTATTAGTTGGTAATTAACCAAACTGTAAAAGGTGTTATACTTCACTCTATTACTACTGTAACAATTTAAGTTTGTATTTGAGTAAAATACTAGCTGAAAGAAAATAATTTCCAAAGCCAGTAAACAGAACTGTCAAACCAATTTAATGTTTATGAGAAGGTATTTTGGTCAGACCATATGCACTCACTTCTCAACAAGGCTACTAACTGGTCTCCCTATCTTCCTTCTTCTACTATAGTCTGTTGTCAACACCACAGCTAAAGTGATCCTTTTAACACTTAAAACAAACCTTGTCTTGCAGACAGTATGGAGTTGGGTCTTGCTTTTTTAAATCAGTCTGACAATATTGGAGCTTTAATTAGAGCATTTAGACCATTTACACTTAACGTAATTATTGATATGGTTGGGTTCAAATCTACTAACTTGCTTCTGTTCCATTTGTTCCTTTTTTTCCTGTCTTCATTTGGATCAGTTCAGCTATTTCTAGCATTTCATTTAATCCCTACTATTGGTTTCTTTATTGACAATGAATAAAGAAGACTGCAGAAGAATCGATCCATTTGAGTTGTGGTGTTGGCGAAGAATACTGAGTGCACCATGGATTGCTAGAAGAATGAACAAATCTGTCTTGGAAGAAGTATAGCTGGAATGCTCCTTAGAAACAAGAATGTCCAGATTTTCTCTCTTGTACTTTGGTCATGTTGTCAGAAGGAATCAATTTCTAGAGAAGGTTATCATGCTTGGTAAAGTAGAGGGTCAGTGAAAAAAGGGAAGACCCTATAT